TACTACTGCTCGGCCATGTGGTCTTTCTACTCCAGCATTGTCATCATGTTGACCCTCCACTTCACTGGTATCTTCAAGCTGTACACTCTGATTGACGAGTTCGGCCACATCATGAGCGTAGCCATCCTTTCAGGCTTCCTCTGCTCGACAATCGCATACGTCTCAGCTCGCGTTCGCGGCGCTGATCTTCGGATGACTGACAACCCCATTGTCGACTTCTTCCTCGGCGCGGAGCTCAACCCCAGGCTCTTCGGCATTCTGGACTTCAAGATGTTCCTCGAGGTCCGCATTCCGTGGTTCATCCTCTTCTTCCTTTCGCTCGGTACCTGCTTGAAGCAGTACGAACAGTATGGCTACGTATCCATCGAAGCCATCTTTCTGCTCTTCGCTCACTACCTGTACGCCGGCGCCTGCGCAAAAGGAGAGCACCTCATCATCACAACCTGGGACATGTACTACGAGAAACTCGGCTTCATGCTCATCTTCTGGAACATGGCTGGTGTACCTCTGTCATACTGCCACTGCACCCTGTTCATCGCCAACCACCACCCATCTGAATACCAACTCCCGACCTGGTTTACCGCCCTCCTCACCCTCGCTTACCTCGGCGTCTACTACATCTGGGACACGACCAACTCGCAAAAGAACCAGTTCCGTCAAGAGGAACGCGGTGTTGTCGACGAGCGCACTACCTTCCCCTACTTCAAGTACGGACGCATCGCCAACCCCAAGACCATCCAGACATCGCACGGCAACAAGATTCTGGCTGACGGCTGGTACGGCAAGGCGCGTAAGATTCACTACACGTGCGATCTTTTCTTCGCAATCAGCTGGGGTCTTATCACCGGCTTCAGCAGCCCGTTCCCATGGTTCTACTCCGTGTTCTTTGCGGGTATGATCATCCACAGGGCGCTGAGAGACATTGAGAAGTGCCGGGAGAAGTACGGTGAGGCATGGAAGGAGTACGAGAGGCAGGTGCCTTATTTGTTCATTCCGGTAAGTCCAGCATCTCGCGTCTTGACTGAATCGTCGCTAACATATCTACAGTACGTGTTTTAAGTAGATACCGGACCGTCGCTTTGATCTTTTACCATCTCGCGAGTCTTCGGACACCTTTTACTTGACGGGACCATTTTGTAGTATACCATAGCATTCTTCTCGCATTTCGACGGTCGTGGCTAGGGCGGACAGCATTGTAATGGTTGTAATGGCAGTAATGGCAGTAATGGCAGTAGTAATGTATGATGTAGCAATTAGCTCCGGCAAAAACTGATGTGACACGATGCGCCATCTATATGTCTGTCTAGACACACGAACCCCTACGCATGCCAAGCCTTGCGTCAGCGTGCGTGCGGGCCAAAAGTTCAGACCCTCACGCCTCGTATCCGCAAAGTGTCCTCCCCTCTCAGCCCAACCCAAGAACCCGCACAAGTCGCCCCCCAGTGCACAACCACCCACCATGGACGCCCTCAAATCCGCCATCCAACCCATAACGCACAACCTGCCCCAACCCATCGCCGACGTCGGCATCTCGCTCCTCGGCCCCAAATGCTACAAAACCCTCATCTACAACGTCGACATCACGGCCACGGAATGCGTCAAGCTCGCCATCTCCAAGGGCCTCGGCATCGGCATCATCGGCGCCTCCTCCATCGTCAAGATCCCGCAGCTCCTCAAACTGCTCAACTCGCAGTCCGCCGACGGCCTCTCGTTCCTGTCCTACCTCCTCGAATCAAGCAGCTACCTCATTAGCCTTGCGTACAACGTCCGCCACGGATTCCCGTTTAGCACGTATGGCGAGACGGCGCTTATTCTCGTGCAGAATATCGCTATTGCGAGTTTGGTGCTCAAGTACAGTGGACGGGGTGTGGGCGTTGCGGGATGGATTGGCGGGTTGGCGGCGGCGGGCGCGGCGCTGTTTAATGACCAGTGGGTTGATAATGAGAAGTTGAGCTTGTTTCAGGCGACGGCTGGTGTGTTGGGTGTTGCGAGTAAGGTGCCTCAGATTCTGACGGTGTGGAGTGAGGGTGGGACGGGCCAGTTGAGCGCTTTTGCTGTAAGTCTTCATGTTTCTACATTACGGGTGATGGTTTACTAATTTGGTGACTAGGTTGTCAACTACCTCCTCGGTTCCCTATCTCGTATCTTTACAACTCTCCAGGAAGTCGACGACCCGCTCATCCTCTACGGCTTCATCGCTGGCTTCGCCCTCAACGCTATCCTCTTCTGCCAGGTCGTATACTACTGGAACGCGCCCGCATCCAAGAAGACGGAGTCAAAGAAGTTGGAAAAGCCCATCGCGGCCGACAGGAAGGAAATGGCGCGTGCCGTCTCGAGCGGTGCTACGCCGTCGTATGCGAATGCCGCGGGCAAGAGTCCAAGCACAAGACGCAGGGGATAGGCTCATCCCCCTGTTGCTTCTTGCTTGGGGATGTGGGCTGTTGAATTAGTAGTTGTAATACAGACTTCACTTGCGCGACGTCTTGACCATGCTTGGGTGAAGATTACACGTATATTCAATACACTAACATGCTAACATATGCTTGGTCGCATGTCTAGAAAAACAACTCCGGGCGTTCTGCTAAACAAGGCTTTTCGTTTTCCTATCAAATCTGCTGAGGCGCCGTACTTATGGCATGTGGCGGTGGCATTGGTGGAGCGCCTCTGCTATCCGCCAAATCTCCCGTAGGCGACATCGTCCTCTGCTGGTTTGGTATGATTGTATTGACTGGAGGCGGTGGCGTGGGTACTGGGGAGAGGCCCACTGGCGGGTGGTATCCAGTGTCTGTTAGCCTCCCAGATACTGGGTTGTACACGCCAGTCCTTGCTTGCAACTCGTAGTTGTCGTCATCTTCTGAAGACGAATAGTCGTAAGTGTCCATTTGACGTTGACGCGCAACATCTACTGCGAAGGGATTCGTAGCTGGCAACTGATTCTGGTATGTGTGCACCTTCGAAGTCATGGTGGACCCCATCGTGCCGGTTCGGTAATTACTTGACGCTGCTGTATCGCTGCGATCAACGCCATATTGCGATCCCGATTCCTGGCGTCTGCGTTGCGAGTTGTGGATCTGTTGGCGGAAGACGTTGCCAGTGTGATCGCCGCTACCTTCAGGCACGGCCGTTGTAGACGAGTAACCAGACGCTTCTCCGCGTTCCTCGTCCGCCGGCTTGGCCATGCGCTGCAGCGGTTGTACATCCTCATCGACCATTATCGTGGGCTGCGGTGGTGCGCGTGATGCCTGACCCCAGGCTCGAATTGGGTATGCACGTCCCTTGCGCCATGTCTCGGAGACAGGAGGGAAGTATTGGCGGTAGGAGCCCCATGATACGAGTATGCCGAGTAGGGCGCCAGAGAGGACGTCGAATGGGTGGTGGCGGGCATCCATGATACGGGTTCCTGTAATCAGAGCAGCTCCGAGGGCAGGAACCATGACGAGGAATGATCTCCAGACCTCGCCCTTTGCATCGAGAACGTGTAGCTTTCCGGCGAGGTAGATAGAGAGGTAGAAGAGACCGGCGAAGGAGACTGGAGGGCGTTAGTAGATGCTTTATTTGTGCGGCTATGTCACATACCGCTGCTGTGCCCAGAGGGGAAGCTCTTGAAACCATCTTGCAGGATGTAATTGTCAGTCTGCTTGCAGATGTCGATAGTTTGTAATGCGTATTTTTCAAGATTGAGCTTGGTTTCATCGACGATGCAGCGGCTGATCAGATCCGGCCGCGGCTTGCCAATCGCGTTCTTCAAGGCTCCCGTGATGGTGAAGGCGGCGCCAATGCTCAGGCCAAGACCAAGGATGCCACAGTTCAACTCCCACAACCGATCCTTGAATCGATATCTCCCTGATAGGCGCTTGATGCCAGCCCTGCCTGCGGGCATTGTCGTCTGGTGTGAGAAGAGCCCATCAATGACCATGGTGTAGAGTGCGATGACCGCAGCGGGAGCGAGGATAACGTAGACGCATAGCCACGGGACGGGTACGCGCTCATGTTCGGCGAATGGGTAGTGCAGGGTGTAGTTTTCGAGGGCGAAGTGCTGGTGGAAGGGCGGGATCTTGTCGACAATGGTGAAGGTTATCATGAGAACACTATGGCTTTGTTAGCCGGATCGAGCTGGGAAGGAGGTCGTGTGACGCGGAGAGGGTGGGCTTGCAGTATGATGAGGTAGTCGCCAATATATCTGTGCTGGTCAGTTTCTACTGCTCTTATGCATGCATAGCTGTACGCACGAGAAGATGACCTTCTTGGGAAGGCGCTTCTTGGAGAAGGGAAGGCGCTCAGGGAGCTGTTTCGACGTCCAGTCGTCCATGATGCGCTACAGGACCCAGCCAATCGCGGATGCTTCGTTGCTGCCTCAGACTCAATGGCAGTCGACTGCTCTAGTAGCGTAGTATTGTTATATGCGAAGATGTAGGCGTGAATGTTCTCGGGGGTCCGCAAACGACGGCACCAGACATGCGACCCTCCTGGGGGATGGCGCAGGGGCGGAGAGGAGAAGGAAAGGGAAATGCAAGGTCAGCGAGAAGATAAAAGACAGTGGGGTTGGTCAGAATGCAGTGGTTGTCCCCGGGTCAGCAACGCCGTGGGCAGGGAGGATGTGTAGAAGTGCAGGGCCGACTACGCAGCGTCTCCGTGCTCAGCTTGTGGCTGTGAGGATTGAGCTGACGCGCTCCCAGACTTGGCTCACTCCACAGCAGCAGGGCTAGCCGCCTCGAGATCAGCGCCAATTCAACTCGGCCTTGGTACGCGGAGCATTATTTCACGTTACGTCGCGATAAGGTTCGTGTGATATGCATGCGGCAGCAGCTCTAGTAAGGCCGGCCGCATGCCCGGCAGGCGATGGCATCCGAACCGAGCTGTAAAAGAAATACGGTATGGCAACAATGGGCCTGTTCCATGTGGCGCATCCAGCGGAAGCGGCGATCGCTTAGCGCCATGGCGATCAGCTTATTCTTCCACCGCCTCAGGGTCCGACTCTCTACATCTATTCCTGTATCGCCATGTTTTCCTTATTCGCCAGCGAGAAGCCCCAGCCCAAAGCCGCCGAGGTTGCCATCCAGAGGGTCTCAAACATCACCGCCACCCAGCTGTCCCGCTTCGAGCGCCTTCCCAAGGTCCAGCGCTATGCCATCATAGGCGCTGCCTCTGTTGGCGGACTGTCCATCCTATGGGCTTTGACTTCATCTTCAAAGTCTGCCAGACGGCCTCCGATTGCTTCTCCCAGGGATTCCCTGCTACCAGATCTGTCTCCCGAGGACGCTGCAGAACTTCCATACCATCCAGCTGCACTGCCCGGAGCCCGCGATGTCGATTCGCCATGGGGTACTATCCGCGTGTATGAGTTCGGCCCCAGAGATGGAGAAAAAGTTTTGCTCATCCATGGCATCTCGACTCCGAGCATTGCCTTGACTGACCTGGCACACAAACTGGTTGGCAGGGGCCGACGTGTCATGCTTTTTGGTGGGTCCTCCTTGCTGTCACTGCTAGTCTTTGCCCCGTCACTTTTCTCTTCGCTGTTTCAAAGCCGTGAAACCAAACACCGTCTTCCTGGACATGGAGAAGATGGTTTTTCTGTGCAGCTTCTATGATCGCCACATCTGCATGCCCCACGTTGAACCGGGCGCAGGACTGTGTCATGGGGTTCCTTGCTTTGCCCGTTTGGGCAAGGGGCCCGCCAGCCCTACCAACGGTGAACCACGTGCACTGCAGATGCGATTACCGAACTGCATCGTGGACAGTCCGTGCTATGCTACAAAATAATTATACTAACAATATCAACAGACCTCTTTGGTCGCGGCTACTCTGATGGTCCTAACCCGGACACAACCAACTATGACTCCAACCTCTTCACCAGCCAGATCTTGCTCGCGCTACAATCTTCGCCCATCCACTGGTCGCATTTCACCATAGTCGGCTACTCTCTGGGAGGCGCCATCGCTGCAGACTTCACATCGTACTTCCCCTCGCTCGTCCGCGGGCTCGTCCTCGTCGCTCCTAGTGGGCTCATCCGCAAAAACCGCATTTCCATTTCCAGCAAAATGCTCTACAACAGCTCCTGGATGCCGGAATGGATGGTACGCAAGTTCGTCGCAAGCAAACTATGGACAGGACGCAAAGTAGTTGAGAGCGACCCTGAAGCAGTAGAGAATGCCGAGACTACCACGGTTGCGAGCGAAGGAGACAAAACATATCTGAGCAGCAACCAAATGCTCTTGCCAGGCAACCCGCACTCTACCGTTTCTTCCGTCGTGGATTGGCAGATACAAAACCACAAGGGGTTCGTGCCAGCCTTCATATCGACCATCCGTCATGCGCCCATCCAGAATCAACAAGAGCGCTGGGCCGTCATCCGCGAAAACATCGAGAACCGCGCCGGCCCACTAAAGGAAGTCTGGCTCATTCTCGGCGAGACGGACCCCGTTATCAACGCCGACGAAGTCACCGAGGATGCAAGAGCAGTACTAGGTGAGGAAAACGTCAGGGTCAAGGTACTCGACGGTGTAGGCCACGAAGTCGCCATCGAGCGAGCAGATGACATTGTCAGGGCCGTAAGAAGGGTTGGTAGTAAGCCCGAGGAGGTCAGGGAGCAACAGGAAGTAGCGCCTGAGGTGCCTGAAAAGGACCCGAAGCCTGAGAAACCCGAGAAGGCTGAGAAGGAAAAGAAGGACAAGAAGGAGAAGGAGAAGAAGAGCTCGAGTCGGAGGAAGCACGGAAGCTCACACGCTGGCTCTAGCGCGAAATAGGACTGAAGCCCAGTATTGAGATGGTTTACGAGGCCAAAGAATGTACAAGAATATATAACAAGAACAATTTCACAACGCTTACATGCGACGCAAACTTCTCAATAAAGCTGAAAGTATGTGACATGAAGTTTCATTCTCAAGTATATACACGAAATCTAATTCCCCCCATTTCTTCCTCGCCCTCAGTTCATCTAACCACTCCACACAGCGGGGCCGGGAGGAGTGTAGCTAGTAGGAACCGGGTAGTAAATGTTGAGCTGAATGCCCTTGTCGTCCGCCTTGTACGCACCCGGGAAAGCAACCTTGGGTCCCGGCGTTCCACTGCCACCGTTCTCAACCTTCAACTGCGCACACGAGATGTAGAACTGCGCACCGCCGACGGTGGACGCAGAGTGCACAGCAATGTGCTCAACGCGCATGAGGTATTCGCCCGAAGGAAGGGATTTGGGGAGTGTGACGTCGACTTCTTGCTTGCCTATTCACACACTCACGTCAGCTTCCTAATTCTATCTGAGTGCGAAGTAGAGATTAGGGAAGACATACCGTTGCTCGGCCAGTTCATCTGCCCACCAGAAAAGGTAGCGCCCTGACTGAAGATCTTAAACCACACATCGCCGCTTCCATCCCAGGTCGCAGCAGTCTTGCCCTCGGGGACCTTGGCGAGGTAGAATTGAAGGGGGCCCGGGTGCGAGATGCTGGATGCGGCTGTGAAGCCGACGGAGTCGCCGGCGTTGACGGTGTAGGTTTTTGAGCCTGTACCGGGGGCGAGCTCGTAGCAGCGGATGGCGTCGGCGGTTACGTCTGTTGTGGGACCTAGACGGGTGTTAAATGGGTGTTTGGAAGGGAAGTGATGGGTATGGATTGGGAGGCGTACCGTTGGACTGGTAGTTGGCGGTCTTGCGGACGTATTGCCACAGACCGGTCTTTTGGCCCTTGACGACGAGTTCGGGGAAGGTGTAGTGGGCGCTGGCCGTGCTGGCGACAGCGAGGAGGGTGGTGAGGACGGAACACTTCATGGTTGGTTACTGTGAAGAAGATGTGATGATGGGTATCTTGATGTCCCTACGAGGTACCAAACCCCCCTCTATATATACAACCATCCTGATGGCTTGGTGGAGCCGTCACACATCCAGGTTCTTCTATATTGCAGTACTATGCGCCCCAGACTCAGGCGTGTGGTACTTCATTTTTTCGCCGCCTTGCGCACGAGTAGGTCGATAATGTTCCGGCGGGTAAAAGAGATGGTAGGCAATGGGGCGTTGCCGAACCGAGGTGTTGAAACGCGAGACCCAGTACAATTAATTCATGGGAAACATATGGATGTTTAGATGAGGTTAGTGGCGCTAGCATGTAGTCATTGGTCGGCAAGCAGCGTCCCCCTGTCCGGTAGTCGAAACACATGACCCGGTTCCGATATTGCGACAGGCGGCTTTGCCATCCTGGTAGATTGAAAGGCGTCTCTAGTTGCACCACAAGCGTACGTTGGATGGAGGCGACTACTCGAAGCGATGCACAGTGGCTGCTAGAATATATTGAGCGTGTGGATTGCAGTATCGTGGCGGCATGGAAGGACTTGAAGAAAACCCGGGACGAAGATGCGAAACACTATGGACATGAAGCTTGTTTTCGTTAAATCCGATCGCGACCTTCTAGATGCGTGATAATGACATATGATACAGTGGGGTATGGAAACATGTACCTGTTGATCGAGCGATCGTCAACGGGTGAGCGGGAACGGTGAATGTGCTTGCCTGACAGCGAGCATGCAATGTGGGTCTCCCAGGTACGCCAATCTCAGGCGTTTCGTCTGCTCTCGACGAGGGCCAATTGCTTCTGCTCCTCTGCCTCGAACTCGCCGGCTTCGTAGTACAGATCCTCTTCGTCAATGTCGGCATAGCCGAAAATGCTGCGGTAAATACGTTCTCCAAGTCCCTTCTTCTGGGCCATGGCGAGTACCATGACAATGGGAAGGTGCCAGATGCTAGCCCAGAAAAGACCTCTGGCCGTTCCTTTTTGTCCCTCGGCCTTCCAGAACTGCCAGGCTTTGAGTGCCATCCAGCCGTTGACGACGCTACTCGTGGCTACGTAGCTCCAGTCGGTCACGCCGCAGTATGACAAGCCGATACAGACGGGGAACATGAGAATGGAGTATCGCAGTGCCACTCGTCCGTTCATTCCAGGGTTCACCCAGGCTGTCATGCGGTAACCTGCATTCTTGTATTCGTCGCGGATGGCCCAGCTCAACGCATTGAAGTGGGGGAACTGCCAGGCGTACAACAACGCAGCGCACAGCCACCCTCCAGCCGAACCCTCACCAAACAGCAGTTCTTCCCAAGTTCCGTCATGGGCGTACTGACTCGCTGCAGCCGTCCAACCCATGAGCGGCGGAATGCCTCCAACGATGGCGCCAACCCAAGTGTTCAGTATGTGCATGCGCTTCATGGGTGTGTACACGGCCGCATAAAGGGCAATGTTGGCGGCGCCAAGGAACGCTGTCGTGGGGTTGACGCCATAGTAGAGGGCGCCGGTACCAAGCACCCCGCACGCGACGGCGAAGATGATGGCGCCTCGTGGGCTGATAAGCTTCCGGACGAGAGGCCGATTGCGCGTACGACTCATCTTGGCATCGTGTGCGGGCTCCATGATCATATTGAAGGCGTTTGCGGATGCCGAGCACAGCGCAGTGCCGGATGTGAGGAAGAAGAGTGTGAGGGTCGAGAGGGACGGAGTGGCTGTTGCTGCGGGGGCAAGCAGACCTGGTACGGGGTATAGCGAGTATGCGGCCGTTGCACTGAGTACGACGAGGAAGGAGAGGCGCGGTTTCGATAGCGAGAGGTATGTAGTCATCATGCGCTTGAGCGACTGCTGCGGGAGGCTCGAGGATATGTGTGCCAGCTTGGACGACGCATCGTGTGGTATTGGGTATGCCGTCTCTGGGTTCTCTACTGCCTGCTCTTTTGCTTTCTTCCGCCGCCTATGTGGTAATACTTCTTCTGTGCCAGTTGTGCCATCCTCCTTCGCCGCTTGCTGCCCGCTTGCATTCGCCGATTTGACGGACAGAATGGAGCTCTGTAACTCTGGTCCTGACCTCCAGAATGTATCCTTGAGTAGTGGGTTCGCCCGGAAGTAGTCCTTTCCGAAAGCAGTACCGCCTCGTCCGGCTACTATGGCGTCGTCTCTATATGACGGATTGAAAGAAATTGGTCTCCGGGACTGCAGCGGCGCTTTTGCGAGTCTGCGCCAACATCGTAGACATAGTGTGTTCGCATCCCGCGCTGCAATTGGCCGCGGCAGTATTGGTCGAAAGCTCATGGCGGCATGGGGTTGAGCTCCAGCGGGCAGTCGTCATGAGAGCGATAACTTTTGGATTGCACCTGCCAAGAGCCGAGGCGCGCTAGCCACTCAGACATCCCGCATTTCTACTCCACACTCGTCCCGTCTACTTCTCAGCCTCACCACGTCTTGACAAGCGACAATCCTCAGTCAGCACTAATATGGGCTCTTCACCGGATATCGCAAGACGGAACAAAAATCTGAGTCGCTTTTTTGCAATCATCCGACCAGGCATCAGCGGACTGGCATGGAGCTTCTTCGAGCTGGAGGGGATGCCGAATAGCACAACAGCTACAATACGCGGTGCCTCGGATGCTCCGTAATATGATTACGCCGCAAACTTGTAGGCAACGTTCAGCATAGGGCCCTAGAACCAAGTCAACTCTCGAGTGATCCAGAAATCGGATCGGAGCTTCATACCATTTTATCATGCACGTCCAACTGTTCGATCCAGACCCGTATGACATCGCTCGTACCCGTCCTAGCCGCATTGCTGCCCCCGGCTTGTACATGCAGCATGGCCCCCACAAGTTCAGCTCGAAACTGTCAACACAATTCCGTGTAACCTGCATGGGCTCGACAACCAATGGATGGTCGTCAGCCTGCAGCAAAGCGGCGAGGCTATGTAATACCTGGAGAAGAGCATGAAAGAGGCTGTGTAAGCCACAAGGCTACGTGCATTGATTTCTATTGCCAGCGCATCGCTCCCCGCGTCCGCTGAACTGTCGTTCGCATCGTCTACGTTCGCATGGATCCCATTAGCATCATCGCGTCGGCGATCACCATCGGTGCAAGCGCAGCCCAACTCTCGCTTGCTCTCTTCAGCGTAGTTCAGACAATCAAGAATGCGCCCACAGAAATAGCGGAGATCGGTAGGCCCTGAATTCCTGTATTGAGCGTACATCATACTCAACAGAAATAGCGGATGAGATATCTCTACTTGCGGGAAGTCTGCAGACCCTTGGGGAGATTCTTGATGCTCATCAAGACTTGTGCAAGCCTGCATTTTTCACCAATACTCGCTCAATCATATCACGATACGAACGGGTCGCTGCGGAGATTCGGCTACTAATTGATAAGAGACGAAGCCTGGTCGGGCTCAAGTGGCCGCTGAAAAAGCCCAAAGCCAAAGGTCTTTTGAAGAAGGTCGAGGGAATCAAGACTGCATTGATTCTGGAGTTGAACGTTATTCGCCTCGCCAGAGAAGAGGCTAATCGGCCGTAAGCATGATCGATTTTGTCTCCTGATTCTCGTGGTCGCTTACATCACCAGATCTCCAGACTTCAACTCCAACGGTCAAACCCATGGTAGACCTAGATTCAATCGGTTTCGCCGGATTGTGGAAAGCGCTGTCCAGGCGAACAGGCACGTTGTAGAGAGTGCACAACAGGAAGACGAAAAGCTCGAGGCGGCCACGCAACCTTCCTCCTCGGCTGAACTAGCCCTATGGAAGAGTGGCTCCTCTGACACTGCGCCCTGGCTCTATCAACTGGTTTTCAGCTCTGGCGACACAAGTCCACCGCCACCATACCTACAAACACGTCAACTCCACCAAGCATCCGTTGTTGATGAAAGCGCCGAAACGGCCACTAGAAACAGTCATGCATCATCTCCAGAGCCCGTCGCAGTACCCAAGAGACGACCTTCAAGTCCAGATGAAAAGGCCATGATCTTGTGGAGTAGGCAAACGGAACCTGATCTGGTTGTAGACAGACTACTCTCCTCATGGACCACGCTCTCGCCGAATCAAATTAGTCTCAGCTCAACTCGTCAACACGGTGTCGAGGGCGTTGTGGAGGACGATGCCTGGAGGGAGGATATTCTCAGAATGGTAGAGGAAGCAAAGAAGGACGACAACCTATCTTTTGACGAATGGGAAGAGCAGAATGAGCCTGTCGGGTCCGACGACGAGGCATTCCAGAGTGCCGAAGAAGACAGTATGGTCGACACTAATGCACCGCCGTACAACTTTCGCAGTAACACCCAAAAAGCCCGCATAAGGAGTGCAAAGAGCTCTAACCGTACTGATCCACGGGCTCATACATACGAACCATCACCAACCTACGGCGATCCCCCGTCACCCAGACGTAAGGCTCGCGAAGTACATGTGACATTTGGAAAAACGTCAACCGGCCATCCACATCAACATGTATCTAAGCAAAGGAAACACGGTGTGAAGCCACTACCTACAGAGGCTGAAACCAGACAGCGTCCTTCCAAAGTCTACACGATTCATAGTGGTGATGATGAGGATGATGATGGAGTTTTCGACAGACCCTACCGTGACAGGGTCAACATTCGCGATCCCAGGAACAAGTCCAAATCAGGGTATTCAAATCCCTTCAGACACGGTCACATTCCGCCCCCTGTCAATTATGGATACAGTCCGCCATGGCAGGAACCACCACACATGCTCCCGCCTTCTGAGCCGCCGAGACAAGCATATGCATCTGATCCATACCCACAACACCCTCCAAGTCATCAGCCAGCCGTTGAATCCCCTCCGCCGTCTCCTGCCCAAGCTCAAGCTCCACCGATGCCTCTTCCTCCACCCCCACCGCCTGCTCCACCCGTGGAGATGCAGACAAGAACGGCCGAGGATGAGGCCAGAGAAACCGCTGTTCTCGCTCGGGTAGAGACACTACTTCAGAAGCGCAATCAAGAACCCCGAATTGAGTACGAGGACTCACCGTTTTCGAAACTGGCGAAGATATTCAAGGAACAAGAAGTCCAAAACGAACGAGAACGAGCCAATGCAACAGCTGAGGTGTACATGAAGCAGATGCAGGATGCCCATGAAAAGGACGAGGAGAAAATGAAGCAACTCGAAAGTCTCGTAGCAGCTCAAAGGGCAGAGCAAAAGCGCATGGAAATTATGTGGGAGGAGGAAAGGAAGACTATGGAAGCAAGAGCAGCTGAACAAGCTCAACAAGTGAGGAATTTGGCAGCGAAAGAGATTGCGGTGGCACAGTTGGCCAAAGAAACAGCTCAAACAGCTCTCAATGTTGAGAGACTGGAAGCCGAGAAGGAGGCACGGAGAAAAGCCGACGCCATGGTCATAGCGGAAAGACAACGAACCGACGAAGTGCACAGGTCGCAATTGCAGCGCTACGAAGAGCTACTTCATGGGATACAAGAGCGGCAATTGAGCTCAGAGCAAGACAACGATCAGACCATAAGACGGACTCGCATAGCGGAAGGCAATCGCAGCGTGGATGTAACAGAGTATGCGACAAGCAGACGACCCCCGCTTACGGCATCTTCTTCCAACCCATTCTTGGAGAGTTTCGCCCGCCTGGACATGAGACCGAGCTATCGAGATCGTCCTCAGAAAACTTCTCGTCGTGACAGCTTTCGCAGCTCCATGGGCTCAATGCATGCTTCGCGTACTTCGTTAGGAAGTACAGCCACATTGGAAACTAACTCACCGTCCCAGCAGATGATCGTCTTCCCTGTTAAAGCCGACAGACGCTCTCAAAGGATGGACAGGCTGCAAAAGTCGCTGGCTGGTTTTGGGATTGAATCTGTCTTTGAAGACGCCGAAGACGAACCGTTTCAAACCAGTCGACTCATACAATATGATTACGACAACACGGATGACCAGATTGTTAGGAGTACGATCTTTTGGGAGTCCTCGGCGCTTAATCTAGGAAGCGAGCTTCTGCTGACCATGAGGCAAGCCGGATGGAGAACACCTTACACACGTATATCAGGTAATGATGCGTCACTAAAGTTCGATAACCATGTACTAACACTGTCTAGGTAAAGGTCAGACTCACTATCTAGGGAGCCAACCGATACATACCTACTTCTTTGACCCAGACTACGAACCGCAGTTTTGCCCATCTGAGACAGCATCAGGCAAAGAATCGATCACTATTCAGAAAGCCCTTGTGGAAGAGTATGCGCTGACCGAGCTCGGCTTCCAATTTCAGACCAACGATATGGGTTTATATATTCTCGACGGTAGATTAACATATGTAAGAACCTATACAGCTTGCGACTGTAAACCCGAAACTAATGCGTAGTAGAACGACATCGAGACACTTATTGAACGATCGTTCCTCATGAGAGAAAACAACTATCGGCGCCTTCACCGTCAGCTACAATGGCATTTCGACAAGGATCCCGAAGTACCCTTGAGTGCCTACCCGGCAACGTATGCGCCATCAGTGCACTCTGCACCGTCCGTGTACTCGGGCGAGAACTCCACTGTCTGCGACGACATAGATGCAGAGACGCGAGGCAAGAAGAGCCCCAGTTCGGCAGGCTCCGATGCCGATCAGTCTGATATTGGCGATGTCAGCAAATTCCTTGTTCCTCGATCTGAAGCATCAAGAAGGTCAGCAGCGCCGTCTTCTGCGGCTTCACGGACTTCGAAATCCACCAATCCGTATCGGAAGTACATGAATGCGGGGGAGGATAGTGGGGTCGATAGTGTGTCTAGGTCATCTCGTTCTCCAAGTCATTTTGATTGAGCGTGCATGTGTGAATGTCAAGTAGACGTAGGAAGCGGTACATAGAAGAGTACCACTTATCCAGACAAAAGAGCTTGCTGCCTTCCAATGCAATCGTAGTAATATAGTATTCTGGTTCGATACAGTCACAATCATTCAAATCCTCGTGTATATAGATTACGCACTTAAGACTGCACCTGTTCCGCATAGCTCGCAACATGTCTTCGCGCCGTGAGTTTTGTGGTCGCCCAGGTGTTCTCCCGCTAGCCCATGACGCAATCGGCATCCCGAGAATCGGTATCATTCCGAAGCAACACCCAAAACTTCGAGCCCGAGCATCACAACTTCTACGAGCTACTTTGCCAAGTCCGCGCTCTACTATCCCGCGCATCTTGTACATGCGCTTCAAACACTTCCTCGCCCTCTCAGACCCACGTCTTTACACACTCGCCAACTTCCGCGTCCGCTCCCATTGGCGTACCATGGCCGCCGCCCCGCCCCCAGATCGCCCGATAAAGCTATTGATGCTCCATGGCTACACGCAATCAGGATCACTATTCCAAGCCAAGACCGGCGCACTGCGCAAGACATTACAAAAAGCCTTCCCCAAAGGCATCGAACTCGTATACCCTACTGCGCCGATACGTTTAACCCCCGCCGACGAATCGTTCCTAGCGGGAAACACAAGTAAAGATGGCGAGGGCAAAGATGCAAAGGACGGAGAGGAGCAGGAGATCGACGCATGGGCTTGGTGGAGGAGGAAGGGCACAGGGGAACCATACACGTACGAAGGCATGGAGCAAGGGTTGGAGCGCATCGCGAGCGTGCTCAAAGAACAAGGTCCTTTTGACGGCGTCGTGGGATTCTCACAAGGTGGAGCAGCGGCAGCTATGGTCGCGAGTTTGCTCGAGCCAGGCCGTCGCGCCGCGTTTGAGAAGCTCTACCCTGAAGGCGGTATGAGGTTCCCAGAGTCTTTCGAAGAGGACACTGGGTACATGGAGGGCACAATCCATCCGCCGCTGAAGTTCGCGGTCAGCTATAGTGGCTTTGCAGCGCGTGGGAAGAACCCTTATCACGCGTTCTATGAGCCTAAGATCAAGACACCGATGCTGCATTTCTTGGGTACGCAGGATGTCGTGGTCGAGGAGGCGCGCAGTCTGGCATTGGTCCAGGCTTGCGAGCACAGCGAGGAGAAGTACGTTGTGTATCACCCCGGGGGTCACTTCCTACCAAGCACGCAGAAGGCTAGTGTCAATGCGTTGATTGGGTTTATCAAGGAAGTTTTGCACGAACAGCAGGGTGGTGGAAAGAAGGAAGAGGAGAGTGTTGAGGATATGGACGTGCCGTTCTAATGTTGAAGGCGGACATATTCTGAGGTCTAGAGAGCGTTGATTTCTACACAGGAGCGAGGCGTTTAGGCAGACTCGCAATAGACAATAGACTAAAAACGGCGGCGAACGTGCAGCTCTTAATGCCATGCACGACGCGGGGAGCGCTGTCACAAGACCAGGCGAATGTGCACGGGCCCTCATACCCCATTGTTTGGGTTGGCGCCTTCCATGTTTACATGAGTGCTGTCATCCCGAACACCACCACCACACACCAAATCGCGACTCCACCATGGCGCAAGCAGGCAAAGAGAATATCGCCGACGGCCTAATCGCGAATGGCTCGTTCAAGGCGTCGACGCAGCCTCTGAAGAAAGCAGCATTGTCACCAAAGAAAAAGACGCGTAGCAAGAGTATCGGCCCTGGGGGTCTGGGGGAATTGGAAGCGCCTCCGTTGAAGGAGAGTTTTGGAAACCGCAGAAAGGTATGCTTCGTACACGCGATGGTATGAGTGAATGCTGACCAAATAGTCTGCGTTTATCCCCGCCGTCAAGTCCATTCTAGCCTCAAACGATGAAGATGAGAAGAAGCGGCGCGAAGCGCGTCGCAAGTCGCTGGGTACGTGTTTCGGGCGTGAAATCGACCTGTAGGCTTGACTAACAGTTGTTTAGCAAGGCGACGCGTGTCTTTCGCCCCGGAAGCCACTCTACACACATGGGACGTAGTCGAGTACATGCGCGATGCGACCACCTCGTCCGCCTCATCGGAGGCCACACGCAGAGCCTCGAACGTCTCACAAGCATCCACACCGGCATCGCCTGCCCCTCCATCGGACCCCGCCGAGCCACCGTCTACACCACCAGAACAAGCCGAAGAGCCTCAACCAGAGCCCAGTTCGTCGCCTGAAAGCCAGCGCGCGCAACACCAAAAGAAGAACCGCCGGAGTTCGGGCATACCGCCGATGAACTTCAACAACCCCGACGACGTCTACTCCTCAAGCCCGCTAAGCGGGGACAATGCTTCGCCTGGTGGAAACGATGATGGGAGCAGCGACTCTGAGGATATGGATATCGACGATGCGACGGAAAGTCTAGGAGCTTCACCCGATGTTGAGGACTCATCGCAGAGCAGCGCTCGACTGGATGCTGCGCTGCGCGAGGCTGCAAACTTGGCAGGCACTCAGAAGCTAGATTTCGACGAGGATGACGGAGACATGAGCATGGAAATTGCGCAAGACGAAGTTACCGCATCTTTCAAGCCCTGGGCAAAGAAGAGCTTCGTTGCACAGTATGACAAAGAGAATGCGAGCCCTCTTTTCTCCCCAGCACGCACCGTAGCCGGCGAGGACGACGACATGAGTATGGACATCACGCGTGCAGTAGGCCGCATCGTACCTCCGCCACCACAACAAAAGCAGCCGGAGCAACAGCAACAACAGCGTTCAGACGCAACGAGCTCAGACGTCGACGACGACGACATGACCATGGACCTTACTATGCCACTTGGAAGTATACAGGCGATGGCGGCATCTTACAAACCAGCAAACAGGAGGAAGAGTCTTAAGAGGAGGGTCTCATTGCTCGATGAAAACCAAGGCAGCCCTGCCAAGCGCACTGCAAGCCGGCGTACCAGTTTGCGACAGCGTCGACAATCCGAAGAGCACGGCGAAGAAGACGCGACCATGGACCTCACAATGGCAATTGGAGCGATTAAGAAAGCGCCACAGCCGGAGCCAGCTCGACGTGCTAGTGTTGGAAGCGTCGTGGATGATGCGACGATGGACTTCACATTGGCAGTGGGCAGCATTAAGAATGGCAAACAACAAGCACAGGAAGACCAGGAGGATGAGGTTGAAGATGAAGACCTTTCCATGGAGTTCACCAAGATTGTTGGACCTGGTATTAGGCGTGCCGGCAGCTCAACAATGACACCACAAACACCCGTGGACGACACACCCGCTTCAGCAACAAAAACACCGACACCGCGAAAGTCTCCGAAGAAGTCGCCTGGACGAAGAAGGAGCTCCATTCTGAGGACTGAGGCCGAATCAGCGCCTCAGGTCCTGCAAGACATCACTCCCAGTACGACAGGCGATGTGGCCTATCCCACCCTTGACCCTGGTACGCCAGAGATCGTCAGGCAGAAGGATATTGAGGAGGTCGAGCCTTCGCCATTTGTGCGCCGGACTCCACTGAGTGCGACCAAAGAGAAGGAAGCTGTTGCGACTCCTTCAAATCCTACGCCACAGAGGACACCCATGATGATTCCTGAAGACCCAATTGCAGCTACGATACTTGACCGACGTCGTTCGTCCTTATCTGCAGTGCAATTCAGTCCTCTGAATGCACCACGTCAGGAGCCTACGCTCAAGAGTACCGCACTTCTAAGCAACAGCATCAAGCTGTTATCTACCCCACGAAAGCAGACATTGATGTCACCAGTGAAGAAGGGGATGACACCGAAGAAGTCACAGACTCCTCAAAAGCAGCCAACTCCGAAGCAGCCGACACCGACACCCAAGAAGGGGAATCTCAGGCAAAGCATGAGCCCAATGAAGCGCGTCGCTTTTGGTGAAGAGCCAGAGGAGGAGAATAACGACGAGGGTGGCGTGGCAGAAGATATGTCGGATGTTGAGCGAATCTCGTTACAAGACTTCCTCGACATGACCAAGATTCGCTTCATGGATCTTAGTACGACCAAGCGACGTCATACTGCTGCTCCTTCCGCTTTCCACGATGTGGAAGTAGAGGAAAAGGAGGAATCTCTAGATCGCTACGTTGTGGCTGGAGCGTGCACCTTGCCTGAGTACGAGCTGTACCAGCATGCATGCCACGAGATGAAGAAGTATATCTCAGACGGTCGCCACTTTGTCCGTACTATGGAGGCCAACGTACTAGAAGAGAACCCACTGCTCTTCAGCGAGTACCTCACTGCACCCCCGGACCAGCGCGTTGTCATGGACAACCAGTTCAAGAACCTCAAGACCAACGCGCGCCTCGAGGCCCGTGGAGAGTGGTATACATGGCGAAGCACGCTGCTACACGATCTCAAAGCTGGCCTTCTTCATACCATGGACGGTTTCAACCAAGACGAATCCACACTGATCAAACAGGAGCGCCTTCTTGACGAGACATTACCTCCTCTGGTTGAGAAGAAGGAACGTCTGTCCACTGAGTGTAAGCAACTACAGCAGCGTCATGATGAACTCAACAGTTGTGACCGGGAAGAACTTGAGCAGACGAGAGAGAAGCTTACAGCTACTGATGCCGAGTTGGAAGAGAAGAAGCTGCTTCTTGCCCAGCTGCAACAAGAGCTTGCCGACAAGGAGACACGCATCGAGGCAGCTAAGGACCGCAAAGTCGAATGTATCCAAGAGATCAAAGCAGCGGAACGTGTACGAGAAGAGTGCCGCGGTTGGTCTACAAGCGAGGTCAGCAGTCTGAGAGGTATGTAATGCTCATTCTTTGCACAACAACCCCACTAACAGCACACTAGCCAAACTCACTGCCCTTGAACAAGCCCACGGATGGAGCATAACGTCCGCTTCCTCGAATAGCATCACAATGACACACATGAACGACCTCGAACTTTACTTCGTACCTTCTGCCTTCGCCACCGGCTCCAACACACCCAACGGATCCATCTCGCTTGCCTACATTGGTGATTCAGCAACGCCACATCCTCGTGCGTTGA